AAAAAAAAAAAAAAAAAAAAAAAAAAAAAATTAGCCGGACATGATGGCAGGTGCCTGGAATCCCAGCTACTCAGGAGGCAAAGAGAATCTCTTAAACAGGAGGCAGAGGTTGCAGTGAGCCAAGATCATATCCTTGCACTCCAGCCTAGGCAACAGAGTGAGACTCTGACTCAAAAAAAATTATGGCCCATATACGGGGAAAAAAAAAAAAAAGTCAATAGAAATTGTCCTTGAAGAAATCCAGACATGGGACTTACCAGGCAACGACTGAAAATCAGTTTTTAAATATGATAAAATAACAAAAGGAATGTCTAAAGAACTAAGGGAAAGTATAAAAGCAGTGTCACAACAAATAGAGAGTATAAACAAAGATAAAACTATTTAAAAGAACCAAACAAATTCTGGAGTTAAAGAGTATAATGACCGTAACAAAAAATTCACTAGAGGGATTAAATAGCACTTTCAGGAAGCAGAAGAAAGAATCAGAAACCTGGAAACAGGTTAACTGAAATTAGTCTGAGAAACAGAATGAAAATAAATAAAAGAAAATTGAACAGGGCCTCAGAGTACTGTAGTGCACCATCAAGTGTGCCAATATACATGGAAGGGTAGTCCCAGAAAATACAACAAAGAGAGTGGGGCAAATAAAATATTTGAAAACTTCCCAAATTTGATTAAAAAAATTCATCTATACTAATTTTCATTAATCTAAAAAGCTCAACAAACTTAAAGTACAATAAAAATTATGAAAAGGAAAGAAAAACAGGTAATTGCCACCGAGAGTTGGGAGGGGAAGTTGACCACAAGGGGAATGAGGGAATTTTGAGTAGTAATGGAAGTGTTTAATATCTTAATTTTGGTGGTTGTTATACAACTGTATGCGTTTGTCAAAACACATAGAATTACACACACACAAAAAAGGTGACTTTCACTATTTAACTGCATGTAAAGCATATACTTTATTATATCTCATTTTAAACAAAAAAGAAGGCTGAGCACAGTGGCTCACATCTGTAATCCCAGCATTTCGGGAGGCTGAAGTGGGTGGATCACCTGAGGTCAGGAGTTCGAGACCAGCCTGTCCAACATGGTAAAACCCCATCTCTACTAAAAATACAAAAATTAGGCCGGGCGCGGTGGCTCACGCCTGTAATCCCAGCACTTTGGGAGGCCGAGGCGGGTGGATCACGAGGTCAAGAGATCGAGACCATCCTGGTCAACATGGTGAAACCCCGTCTCTATTAAAACTACAAAAAATTAGCTGGGCATGGTGGCATTACTGAGTAGCCTGTAATCCCAGCTACTCAGGAGGCTGAGGCAGGAGAATTGCCTGAACCCAGGAGGCGGAGGTTGCGGTGAGCCGAGATCGCGCCATTGCACTCCAGCCTGGGTAACAAGAGCGAAACTCCGCCACACACCGCCTAAAAAAAAAAAAAAAAAAAAATACAAAAATTAGCCAGGCTTGGCAGCAGGTACCTGTAATCCCAGCTACTTGGAAGGCACGAAACTCACTTGAAACTGGGAGGCAGAGGTTGCAGTCAGCTGAGATTGTGCCACTGTACTCCAGCCTGGCCAACAAAGCAAGACTTGGTCTCAAAAAATAATAATAAACAGGAAATAAAGGAGCAGTGAAGTGCTCTAAAATAGAATCTTGGCTTTCTTCAACTTGGATATAATTGACTTCCCTTTCATTCCTAATCCAATTATCTCTCATTAACATTTTCAGTGGCTTAAGAATTCATTAAATTTGCAAGCACACCTTGGTTTCACATTAGTCTGGTTGTTTTTGTAATTGAAACAATATATTCTGCTTTAAATAGTAATAAAAATTACTAACCTGTGATGTTTGGGGAGTAGCAACACCTGTTGATAAATTATCTTCACACCTATCATAGTCTGTTAATCCAGCCACATCATTTCCATCACTTGTGTTCACATCTTCCAGGCTCCAATTCTTTGACTTTTCAATGAAAAGACAGAAGAACTTAAAGACAACAGTATTATGATTCAATATTTAAAATATGGTCATGCATCACTTAACAACACAAGACACATTCTGAGAAATATGTTATTAGGCAATTTTATCATTGTGTGAACATCATAAAGGGTACTTACACCAACTGAGATGTCAGAGCCTACTGCACACCTAGACTACACCTAGGACCTACTGCTCCTACACTACAAACCTGTGTAGCATGTTACTCTACTAAATACTATAGGTAAATTTAACACAACAGTAAGTATTTACGTATCTAAACAAATCTAAACATAGTAAAAGGCCAGGCGTGGTGGCTCATGCCTATAATCCCAGCACTTTGGAAGGCCAAGGTGGGTGGATCACTTCAGCTCAGGCGTTGGAGACCAGTCTGGGCAATATGGTGAAACCCCGTCTCTACAAAAAAAAATACAAAAATTAGCCAGGCATGTGCCTATAGTCCCAGGTTCTTAGGAGGCTGAGGTGGGAGGATCACTTGAGTCCTTGAGGTGGAGGTTGCAATGTGCCGAGACTGTGCCACTGCACTCCAGACTGGGTAATACAAAGAGACTGTATCCCAAAAAAAAATTTAAAAATAAAAAAAAGAAAAGAAAAGGTACAGAAAAAACATGGTATTATAATTTTATGGAACCACCATCATATATGCATTTCAACGTTGCCTTTATGCAGTGCACAACTGTATTCCAGGCACAGAGCAAGGCCCTGGAAACAAAATTTAATAGGAGACACTATATTGAAGGAGCTGACCATCCAGTATAGAAAAAGGAAGTCAGAAAATTTCAGTTCAAAGTATCAGAAAGGAAAATCTCCACCTCTCAAATAATATGTCTTGCAACATTCTTATGTTACATGGCATACTACTTTTTGTTATCACGTAATCACTATACCAGACAACTCTATTGCAAATTTACAAATAAAAACATTTGACAAAGTAGAAGATGGAGGGGAAACAACTTCCAAATATAGGTTTCTTCTTTGTAAGAATCTACAGGGTAGTTAATAATTTCTACCAGGAAGAAAATTAGCCTTATAAAGGATCTCCCAAGGATAGGACATCTGGGGTCTTGTGCTAACAATGCCACCAAAATAACTATGTTCTTTCATTTTTCCCCCTCCATAAACTAAGGGTATACTAATTATACCCTGAAGACTGTGGGTGTACTTGGACTTTTTATTTCTCCTTCCTTCCTTTTCCCTCAATATCTTGTTAATATAACCAGGCAATTTTACTTAAATTTCTTATATCTCATCCTTTTTTTCCCAAAGTCTCACTGCCACTATCCTAGATCAAGGACAAATCTTCTCATACCTAGACTATTCAAACAGACAATACTGTCTCTACCACTAATCTTTCCACCTTCTCAACACAGGATGACAGAGTTCTCCAGGATTACCAATAACCACCAATTAGAACTGGCTGCATGGAGAGGTAGGCTGAGAAAAATCCTAAAGCTAAGTCTAGGCTTGGTGGAAAGAAGTACAGTGCTGTACGAATGACAGCTGTCATGGGTACTGCAGTAGGGACTGATAGCGCACACAGCACCCCTGACTGAACAATTCTATACACCACTGGATGAATTTTTTCAAAATCATGTTCATGTCTCTCTCTCTTGCTCAAAAATCAATGGCTCCTCAGTAACTACTGAACAAAGTTTAGGCTGGTCCAAAGGTAGCGAGTTATCTCAATTGATTGTTCACAGTCAGTTACAGATCGAAATCCTTGTTCTACTCTTCCCCGCTTCTCACTACTGCACTTGACTAGTCTTAAAAAAATAAAAAATAAAATAAATAAAGATAAAATGAACAAAGTCTAAAATTCTGATGTGCATTTTCAGGTTCTCTGTTATTTGGCTCTTCCCTACCCTTCCAGCTCATTTGCTTGCTCTCTCTCTTCCCCTACTTGAACTCTTCTTTTTTAACGCAACAAGTCCAGCCACTATCAACAGAATACACCAAGCACAATTAGGTGCCCATGCTTTTGCTGATTCCATTTATCCTGCCCTGAATGTTGTGCCACTTCTTTTTCATCTTTCTAACCTCGACTGTTGGTCCAGTTTGGATCCCATGGTGATCACTCCCGTCCTCTAAAGCTCCCCAGCACAACTCTGACCACTTTTCTGGCCCCCATCATCTACTATGATGCAGTATTATCTATCTATATATATGCCTTGCCTCAACTTGACTGTTAGAGAACAAGTCCATACTTTACACAAACTGGTTTCCCAGCAACCCAGCATGGGGCCTGAAAATGCTAATGACACTGATAACAATGTGGTCTTTTGTGGTTCCTGGACCAGTCTGTATTACCGTTTCACTGGAAGGACCATCTATTGATTGATTGATCATGATTATTTACTTTCTTATAAACAACACCCCAGAGAAAAGGGATAATTCTATCAAGGGGAAGAACAGTACAAACAGACTATGTGACTTGCTTCATGTCTCAATTTGCACAAAGATCAGAATAGACCCCAAAATTTGATTTCTATTTCATTTATCATTAAAATGTCTCTTTATCTGCAATAAAATTGATTCAATAATATGACTGTCCAAATAATTAAATTATTAGGTAAATGTTCATTATGTAGTAGATGGAAGATAAGAGTAACTATCTTCCCAGGTCTTTTCCACTTACAACTCATGTGAGCAGATCAATTGAGACCAGGCCAATTCAGACATAAGAAAATCCAGGCCAGGCACGGCGGCTCGCGCTTGTAATCCCAGCACTTTGAGCCGAGGCAGGTGGATCATCTGAGGTCAGGAGTTTGAGACCAGGTTGGCCAACATGGTGAAACCCCGTCTCTACCAAAAATATGAAAATTTGCGGCAGGGAAGGGCGGTGGCGCACACCTGTAATCCCAGCTACTCCAGAGGCTGAGGCAGGAGGAGAACCACTTGAACCCGGAAGATGGAGTTTGCAGTGAGCCGAGATCATGCCACTGCACTCCAGCATGGACAACAAGAGCAAAACTCCATCTCAAAAAAAAAAAAAAAATCCAATGGCTCAGGCCCCTTAAGTAAACTGTTATAAAATTTAGTGAAAGTGATTTTTCTAACTTGAGCAGAAGCAAAATTCAGGGTTTTGCATTTTCCTGGACCCAAATGTGTTACCTGCACCTGAAAGTTTAAAGGGTTTGGCAGTGCAGGCAGGATGGGGGATTGGCTGATTCATGGCGCTCATGTGCAAAAGAGCTGCCTAGGCAGAGAATATTTACCAGCCATTAAAACTCTCCAAAACAGACTAGAAAACCAACCCAGGAATAAAAGTATCTCCCTTCAGAGATTTCTTTACACAACAGCCAGTGTACTGACCAACCAGGGAGGGGAAAAGGAGGGTAGGTTAGGTCTGGCAGGGACATAAGACCTACTATGCCTGTAGCACTTGACTAACAAGGAGTAAAAGGGGATCTAAATGAGGTATTAAAGGAATCTGTGGGAGGGGGAATTCAACAAAACAGGTGGCATTTTAACTTTTTTTTTTTTTTTTTTTTTTTTTACAGTTTTGAGGAGTATAAAGTGAAAACAAAAATCACTTCATCCACACAGTCAATTGTGTTATCTTGGATTCCATAAAGAAGGCCAACTACTTCTCTCTGAGGATGAAGTGCAATTTCCTAGTGCTTACATTATTTATCTTGCAACCTGAATTAATCTGAGGGAAGATGACATTACAACGTTCCATACCCCTGTGGCAAAGTATCTGGAGAGCTGAATTTTAAGCCATGGGAAATACAAAGCATCATATAGAAAACAAGGACTAACACAAACATTTAGGGATGACACAGTGTCTCCAAATATGTAAGCTTCTTCACCATTTTAAATGTCCATGACAGGCCAGGTGCAGTTGCTCACGCCAATAATCCCAGAACTTTGGGAAACCAAGGAGGGAGGATTGCTTGAGCCCAGGCATTCGAGACCAGCCTTGGGCAACATAGCTAGACCCCATCTCTACAGAAAATTAAAAATTAGCCAGGTGTGGTGGCATGCACCTGTAGTCCCAGCTACTAGGGAGGGTGAGGCAGGTGGATCGCTTGAGCCTGGAAGTTAAGACTGCAATGAGCCACGGCTGCACCACTGTACTCCAGCCATGGCAACAAAGCGAGACTTTGTCTCGAAAATAAAACAAATATTTTTTAAAGTCTATGACAAGCTAGGCATGGTGGTTCATGCCTGTAATCCCAGTACTTAGGAAGGCCGAGGCGGGCGGATCACCTGAGGTCAGGAGTTTGAGACCAGCCTGGGCAACACAGTGAAACCCTGTTTCTACTAAAAATACAAAAATTAGCCAGGCACGGTGGCGGGTGCCTGTAGTCCCAGCTACTCGGGAGACTGAGGCAGAAGCATCGCTTGAAGCTGGTAAGTGGAGGTTGCAGTGAGCCGAGATCACACCACTGCACTTCAGTCTGGGGAACAAAAGCAAGACTGCGCATTAAGGAAAAAAAAAAGTCCATGATAAAGAAAACTGAGACAAAGACAGCAAAGTAGAGAAAAATAATTTGGCTATAACTTACTCTTATGCAAGAATTACATGAGCTCTACCTACTGCTCAAAATAACACAGGAAGAAACACTAATCAACATGCTCCATTTCAGTAAAGAAATGCAAATTATAAAAGAAACAAAATCCTAAACCCTTAACATAAATGTCAAATATTTATCAAAATATTTCATGTCATATAAAGTATCATATATTCTGTATCACAGATCTTATTCCCCAAAATTTTTAAATTTTTCTCTCAATTCAATAATGTGTCCTTTAAGAGCATCTGAATGCATGTAAATTATATAAAAGTACACTTTTTAAAAATGACTGGAAAGACACAGCAAATATTAACTATATCATCCACAGGTAGTAGGTTTATAAGTATATTATATTTTCCTTTTAGTTCATCGATGGCTTAAACATTTCTACAGCCATCAGGAATTGCTATTATGGGGAAAAAAAGGGGTTTGGGGGAGGTGGTTTATAAAATGCCATGTTAACATTCAGAATTTTAGAGGCTGGGTGTCGTGGCTCACGCCTATAATCCCAAACACTTTGGGAGGCCAAGGAGGGCAGATCACTTGAGGTCAGAAGTTTGATATCAGCCTGGCCAACATGGCAAAACCCCATCTTTACTAAAAATACAAAAATTAGCCGGGCATAGTGGTGCACATCTGTAATTCCAGCTAGGCTGAGGCACAAGAATCACTAAGCTGAGGTCACACTATTGCACTACAGCCTGGGGGACAAAGTAAGTCTTGTCTCAAAAAATAATAAATAAATTTAGAGTTCAACTTCAGAACTTCCCATTTGTCTCATCAAAAATATTGAAGTCACAAAACATCTTGCCTCTGACTCCTTGACACCAGAAAGTTTACTTTCCCAGTGGTATATGCCCTCAGGAACAGGGAGGGCACATGACAAGACCCGAAGGTGTTCACAAGACAGGCTGTAACACTTACCTTGATGTCTGCAAATGGGGTAGCACTGGCTTGTCCACAGGAAAAAGGAGGAAGCCTTAAACGAACTGGTTTTCCCCGAGCCTTCTTGGCTAGAAGCAGAAGATAGGTAGCTGTGAGGTGATCATATTGCCACTAGAGGAAAAGAAAATCAAGTTGGTTAGAAGGCTACATGTTTGTGGAAATGATGTTCTATTTTAAATTAACTTTTTTCTTCAATGTAACATTCAGAACTTTAAGAGCCAATAGGTTTACATGGCATATGATGAAAAATAGCAACCACCACACCACACCTCCACACCCATGCAATTTCCACTCCCTCTAAGGAACAACTTTTAAACAGTTTAGCTATTTCTTCTGCTATTAATTCTGTACTTCTAAACTAAATGCTTACATAGCTTAAAATTTTTTTCAGCTTCAGATATTATGCATAAATTTCCTAGTATTTATGAGAAATATGAATTTAGCTCTACTGCAACTCCCTCCCTGTCCCACATATCTCCTCCCTGTATCCTCCTACTATAATTTTATCACAATGTTTAGCTAAGTTAATATTTACATTATTATGATTATGTAAATAGCATTCACAACTAAGTAGGGATAATGTTCAAAATATTTCATTCGTACCCTGACACCATCAAAATAGAGGCCAAGAGCTCAGCAGGGTCCTGGGAGACTCCTGTCTTTCCAATTATTATTCTTTTAATTATGAGAAGAGGGGAGGCAGTAGTGTCCAGGCTGTTCAAGGGAAGTAACAGGGCAACAGGCAGGGCACTGGAAGTACTGGTTATTTACCAGTCAGTATATAAATATACTAATATTTTAACAACAAATGTGGTCATGCTGGCTGAATATTAGCTCGGCAGCTAAACCACACAGGGTGCTATTCTTGCCTTTCCATTTTTTTATACCTTTGTTTACCCTAAAGATAAAAATAGTCAGTTATTCCTTATGAATTGGACTCCGCCCTCTCCAACACTTTACCTCCTCTCAACATGTTCATACACATCTGCTAACAGCTTCCCCACTTAGAGAGATTCCACCTAATGTCTGCATCCTATGCTCCACTCTGGACCAGGTTCTCAGCCAGCTACTCAATTGTCAGTCTAAGAATTCCTTTCCCCTCTATCTTACAATGTAGCCCCGGTTTCCTAGATTCTAAGTATTCTTCTTTCTTGGTTTACTCTCTTGTTTTGGTGGAACATATCCTCCAGTGATTTCCTGAGGGCACATGCATGGGAGATAAATTTTTTGAGATCTTGCATGTCTGATAAATGACTGCATTCTGTTTTCACATTTGATTCTGATTTGGTTAAGCAGAGAATTCTGGGTTGATAATAATCTTCACAGTTTTGATGGCAGTATACTCTTCTTGATTTTAGTCTAGCTACTGAAAACCTATGGTTACTTAGGTTTTGATTCTCCAGCCTTTGTGTATGACCTTTCATTTTTATCTTTGAAAACTTCCTGAATCTTATATTTTCACACAGTTTTCTGAAATTCCACTAGAGCAGGTCTTGGTATAAATCTATTTTCATCTACTGTTTCATCCCAAGTTAAGCCTCTTCATTCTTGAAAACTCATATTCTTCAGTTCTGGAACATTTCTCTTTATGTTATTTTTAACCTAAAAATATATATATTTTTAAATTTTTAATAAAATAGAGATAGGGTCTCACTATGTTGCCCAGGCTGATCTTGAACTCCTGGCCTCAACCAATCCTCCCATTTTGACCCCCCAATGTGTTAGAATTACAGGGGTGAGCCATGGCGCCCAGCCTGGAATATTTCTTCTTGAATCATTTTTCTTTTTTTGAGACAGAGTCTTGCTCTGTTGCCCAGCCTGGAGTGCAATGGTGCAATCTTGGCTCACTACAACCTCCACCTCCTGGGTTCAAGCAATCCTCTCGCCTCAGCATTCTGAGTAGCTGGGATTACAGCCACATGCCACCACTCCAGGCTAATTTTTGTATTTTTAGTAGTGACAAGGTTTCACCATGTTGGCCAGGTTGGTCTTGAGCTCCTCGTCTCAAATGATCCACTTGCCTTGGCCTCCCAAAGTGCAGGGATTACAGGCATGAGCCACAACCGAGCCAGGTTCTACTTTTAAAAGATTTCGAATTAATTTCATTTTCAAACACTTTTACTGAGCTTTTAATTTCTATGGTTACATTTTAGATTTTCAAGAGCTATCTCTTGGAATGTTCATTTTTATTCATCTTATTCCTACATCAAGAATGAAAATCACTTCTCTTATCTGAGAATATTAATTAGCAGTTTTCAGCCATTTTCTCCCACTCCCTGCATATCTGGGTTTTTTTCTCAGTTTCTACTTTTTCTTCTTTTCTCTCCACACCCTACTCCATTTGTTCTGATCTCTGACTCTCATGTTAGAAGTTTTCCTAAATTTCTGGTGCTCTTTGGTTATCTGTTCCTACTTAAAAGTGAAGAATTACATTACACAGCTGATTAGAGGCTCTAGGTGTATGATGCAGCTGCTTAATACCTCAAGGGCTTTTCTCTGAGATGAATAGACAGAAACCAGAACTCCCAACCACTATATAGTAGGACATTTATCTTTGCTTTTCCCTAGAGATAAATCTACCAATATTTTCCCCACCCTCATTGCAAATAGGATACAAATCCTGGTTTTAGCATTCTCAAAGTTGAATAGGAAAGGGAAGTAGAGATGGGGTTCGCTGTTCAATATAAAGACTTTGTGCACCCACTTCAAAATGGTTTAGAATGGTTCACCATCCCCACTTGAGCTGTGTCTGGTACAAGAATGCTTTGTGATCTCCAGTCTTCCGCTGGGATCGGGGAGAGGAGGCTGTTGTGCAGCACAGGTAGAGAAAGGAACCCAGGGTTCTAACTGCTTCTAATACAGGCTTTCACCCAGTCTTCCTGTTTTCTCTCCTCACTTCCCTGACTTCAGAGGCTCCTGGTACCTCTGACTCCTGAGCCTTTCTGGAGCTCTCATCAATTTGCTTGTTGCCTTTTCTCACTGCAAGCACTTAGCTTTCAGCTTTCTCCAAAATGCTCAGAAAACTACCATTTATCTATTTTATAACTTCCAAACTTCTATTGACATCCCTTTGTCCCCCCTTTTATTCTGTTTGTAAATGTTTTGCCTTTCTCTCCCTTTTTATTAAGGTTTTAGGAAGTGTTTAATGTAAACATAGCTGTTCGATCCACTATGTTTAACTGAAAGTTTCTAAATAACATACTGAGAATACTATGGGGCTATCTGCCCTACAGAAGTATTAAATGTTAACAGTACTGAATAGTCTTTCATGCTATGTAGCTCCCTCACAAAGTGCATGACTCAAAAGTCAACTACCAAATCTGTTTTCAGTAATGAATTTTATTAGTTAATAACTTAGATGGCCACAATCATAGTATATGCTTTGAAATTTGCATAATGACCCAATCAATCTAGTAGGGGAGGCATAAAATATTGTCATAAATAATGAAATGCTGCCTTTAATCCAAACAGAGTGAGGAAAAGAAAGGACAGAAAAGGCTTCATGGCCGGGTGCGGTGGCTCACATCTGTTTTAATCCCAGCACTTTCAGTTTTCGGAGGCCAAGGCGGGTAAATCACTTGAGGTTAGGAGTTCAAGACCAGTCTAGCCAACATAGTGAAATCCTGTTTCTACTAAAAATACAAAAATTGCTGGGCGCGGTGGCAGGCGCCTGTAATCCCAGCTACACAGGATGATGAGGCAGGAAAATTGCTTGAACTCGGGAGGCAGAGGTTGCACGGAGCGGAGATCGTGCCACTGTACTCTAGCCTGGGCAACAGAGCAAGACTCCATCTCAAAAAAATAAATAAATAAATAAATAAGAAAAGAAAAAAGACTTCATGGAGAAGGTGTATGGGAAACTATGGTGGGTGGAAACTATGTACTTATAATCAATCTTCACTTTCCAAAAACTTTGTTAAATATTTTTTTCCCACCCTACATCTATGATAGCCCTATGTACAATAGCCACCTTTTTGAAAGAGATGTCATAAACTGACTAGAGACAATGACTCTAGAGACCAGAAACAAGTTGCCACTTTTCTTATCAACAATGGCACGGCATAACTCAGGCATTGTAAATAACTCCCGGATAGTGCTAAGAGTTTTAGAATGTGTTTTCTAAATATGCCTACTTCTCATTACAATAAGATGCACAGGAGAATTCTGTGTTCAATAACAGATAAATCAACACATTAGTTACACTTTCAGGTGATGTCAATCCACAAGTCTAAGACAAAGGTTTCCCTTATCTTTTAGGCAATTCCTTCATTTGAAAGTCAAATGTCTGAAAGTGATAGGGTTACCTATCAGGAAGTTCCATTTCTAGAAAACTAAAAACATTTTTAAATCGCCAGTTAAATGTGAAAGAAGTGTCTGGGCACCTGGGTTAAAGAGAGGCAGCTACTAGTGCAGAGGAGCAGAGACATGGAGGAGTGGCCTCTACTCTTCCTCTGACCCTCCTCCAGAGGCCCTCACTCTTTACACACATGGGTGTTTACAAGACAGGGGTGGGGAAAATGGATCTGTCCTAGTCTGAATAGGTTCCCGAACACACATGTGCCCCTTAGTGAAGGCCCCCTAGCAGATGACTGGCTACTGCCACAATCCAGAGCCGCTCAGCGCTTGAGGAACAGGAAGAAAGTAAGGAAAGCACTGTTGGGAATCTCAAAAGGAATACAATGAGCTCATTCAAAATCTTGAGACATAGGAGACTCACGGCTGCATATAAAAAGCAGTTCCAAAAAAAAACCAGTTCCAGATCACTCCTCTATATAATCTAAAAGTGGGGGTTCTTATGAGTTGAATGTTTGAAAGTAATATTGTTTCTCTCCCTCTGCACAAAGATTGGCAACATCACGCTGAACTAATCTCTCTCTGTCCTGTCTAATCAGCCCCAAAAGTGAAGGCAGAGCTCTCAGGACGTCACAAAAAATAACAGACCCTGGCTAATCTCAAACCTGGTTTTCCTGAGGCTCTTCGAATTAAAAGGTATGTAGAACCAACATGAATTCTCTGAGACTACCCAGACATGGGTTTCTCAACCTTGCACTATTAACATCTGACCTGGATAATTCTGTGTTGTGAGAGGCTGCTCTTCTGTGCATTGAAGGATGTTTAGCAGCATCCCTGGCCTCTACCCAATAGATGGCATTAGTACACATACACAAACCCCAGTTATGACAACCAAAAATGTCTCCAGTCACTGCCAAATGTCCCATGAGTGGCAAAATCACTCCTGGTTGAGAACTGACCTAGACCAACACTTTTGAAGCTTTACTGACCATAGGAAACCACTTGAAGATTTGACGCAGATTCTGATTCAGTAGGTCTGAGGTGGGGCCTGAGATTCTGCATTGCTAATAAGCACCTAGATGCTGGTGCTGCTGGTCCTAGACCACACTCTGAACAGCAAGAATCTAGAGCACTGCTTCTTGATTCCTGAATGCATACCACAATCAGCTGGGAAGCGTTTAAAAAATTCGGGTGCCTGGGCCATAACCCAGACCAACTGAATCATAATCTGTGGGGTTGGGACCTACACATCAGGAGTATTTTTAAAGTTCCCAAGAGATTTCACTGTACAACCAAGGTGAGAATCTCTCATCTAGAGTGTGCAGCCTATATCCTACTCATCCCTGAGACTGAACAAGGTATGAACAGGGATTTAAGAATGAGAGGAGAGTACAAAGGAAGGAAAACTATTACTTTCCTCACTGCATTCTTGATGTTGGTCATGCTTAACTTTCAGAATACCTGAGAAGATCTTTAGAGAGCTGTAACACCAGGAAACAATCTCTACTATGCTTCGTTATGTTTTATGCATCAGAAAGAAAGCAAATAGTTCATCTTTCCGTTTTGCTTTTAAGTCTGAAAATTATAGGTAGAGACCTCATAAAAGATACCATTTTAAAGACTTTTTTTCATGATTATTGAAACTCTAAGTATGCTACTTTTAAGATTCAGATTTTTAAAGTTTATGGATCTCATACCAATTTGTCCTGAATAAAATGACATGATGTCTGGGATTTATTTGGAAATATCCCAGCTGGAAAGGGAAGAAGGGAGAAAATAGTAGGCTATAGATTAAATGGGCAAAATGTTATTAACTACTGAAACTGAATGATGGGAACATTCAGTGTGGTTATACTGTTCTCTCTACTATGGTGAGTAAATTTTTCTATAATAACATTCTTTAAAATTTCAGTATCTAAAGTACAGTCTTCCATTAATGATCATTCCAAAGAAAATGTCCTACAATTGATTTTTTGATGGCTTAAATGGAAACAAATTTTCACTGATGAAAGAATAAGGACCTTACAAATCTTACAGTAATTCCCAGTTCTTATTATTTCCCTAAAGGCACTATCCACAAAAAAATAAATTATACTACCATTTCCAGACATACTCTGTTTGTCTTTACTTATTATGTCATTCAAAAGAATTCGTTTATATTTTCTCCTTACTGAAAAGAACTGTGCCTTAGCAAAGCTTTGTTTAATTAAAAAGAAAAATTTCTTAATGACTCCACCTTGCAAGTTAAAGAACAGATAAAACAAACATAAATCATAGGTGATAGAAGACAAAGCACTGGGCCAGGAGCAAAGTGAGGGAGAAGTTTCAACCTTCACATTAGAGACAGCTGTGACTACCTTAATCTCTTAAAACACACACACACACACACACACACACACACACACACACACTCAAAACACAGATATGATCTAGAGACTGAGTATCTGAAATAGCCAATAAGCCAACACTAGAATTCATAATGCTTTTATGGTATTTGGTTTGTCTGCTTAGGGGTGTCGTGACACTGCTGGGTTGCTTTCAGGTGAGAAGAAAATTGCTATACATCTACCTCATTTCCACAGCAGAAATCTAGTTGCATGTGAAGTAGTCAAAATTAGAACTCTGTCCATTCTCTGTGCACTAGTTTGTTGTTTCTTAATTATTTTTTCACGATAATTCTTCATCAATGTTTAAAGTATCAAATGTTCATTTTTAAATAAGATATCTAACACATAAGGACTGTGTGAAAATCATACATATTTTTTAAATTCAATATTTGTGCCCATAAT